TGAGTGTAATGAATGTGGGAAATCATTTACTGCTAGTTCTGCCCTCCATCGTCACCAGAGACTTCACACTGGAGAAAGGCCTTAGAGTGCTGTGAATGTGGGGAATCTTTTATCAGTCATCGTGGTTTTAGATACCATTCCAGTCTTCACACTGCAGGAAGGATTTAAAATAGCACAGAAGGTGATACTTCCTTGCTTAGTATAGTTTCGGCTGGAGGACAACCTCTGAGGCAGCCACCTACCTGACTGGAACGTGGTTCACCCAAATGTCTGCAGTGGAGTGACTTCCCATAAGTTCCAGCTATTTTCAGAAAAATTCAGAACCTGCATTGTGCTTTCTGATGTGCATGCAGTTATTGCACGATGGAAGTCCCTGTCAGTGTCTGTGGCAGAAGTCCTTTCACCTCTGCCACCTGGCGGTTCCCATAGTGTGCATAAGTCACCACCCCAACATGGTTAATGATGCTGACCTGTCTGCTTTCTTGTTTGCGCATCTAAATTATGGGTAATTGGAACTCCTCATTCTGTTCTAAATTAGGGCATGGATGTGACCCAGTGTTGGTCCACAGTGGGTGATCTGAGTTCTGGGTGGTGACTTGCACAGGAAGACTAAATCCCATGGGGATGTTATTGGTCTCACTCTGCTTTGATGACTCTAGCTCCCAGGTCACCACACAGGAATTATGTGCCACATGTTGCTCTGGTTGATGCATTAGTAAACGCCATCTTGGTTTAGTTTAATCTTGTACATTTTGTGCACTCTAAGGGGTGGTTTGAAAGCAGGATTGGGCTCTCCCCACATGAGGGAACAAGTAGATTGCACATCCCAAACTTGTTCTGTCTGAGGATAATTGCAAATAAATAAATAATATCGACATACATATATATATAAATAATTCAGCTTCTGTGTTAATTTGCATTATAACCCAAAACCTTTGTGATGTACTGAATTGTTTACAGTCTCAGATGTGTCAGAGAAGAGTGAGTCATGGAATCAAGTAGGGAGCTGGACAGCAAAGTTTGGGAAACTGGGGGAAGGTTTCAGGATGGAGGGTTGAAAAAGTGATGGCTCCTGTGTGGGCCGGGTGGAGATTTGGCTCACATTTAGGAAGAGAATGCAGAGCGTAGTGGCAACGCTGCCGGTAGGTCAAGCATCCTACTAAGAGGTGCTGAAGAGTGGTTCTCTGGCGCAGCACGTGGTTGTGGTTGATGGGCATTGTCAACATGAGTGAAGGAGAGAGAGAGATCTGGCAGATGATGGCCAAGGTTCTTTGGGATGATTGGAAGAGATGGCTGAGGTCATCTCCGATTGAGACAAGGTGACAGTGAGGCGGGGGCTGCTCTCTGTCCCGCGTTCTAGGGCTTCACCAGAATCTTGTGGTCAGCTTCTGTGGTGTCTGGGGTGTTTCAGAGTCTTCCTGCTAGAAAAAGTCTGGGGCAGATGTCATTTGTGGTCCCTCCCCGTGCCTGGCAGGGAGACCCTTAGGGCTGGGGTTTTCACAAAGGTTCAGTAGAGGACGATTGGTTCCCAATTGTGGCGGGACAGCGTGGGCAGCAGAGAAGTGGAAGAGGGTCTGTGAGTATCCGAAGCTGACCGTGGTTGTGAGTGTCTGTTACTGAAGGGAGGGTTACAGGCAGCTGAGGAGGGCTTCTCAGCAGCATTTGAGGCTTTCCCTGTTTTGGGATCCATGGGAGTACTGGGTGGGACTGGAACCTGTTTGAGTTTGTCAAACATCCTGTGGATGTCACGTGACAAGTACGAGTGTGAGTCAAGGGAGGATCCTTTGTTGTGGGGCAGGAAGGTGTGGGAGTTCATCTGTGGGGTCTGAAGACGTGAGAGTGGTAGAGTCTACAGAATCCTGTACACGTGGAGGGGAAGTGTGAGCTAAGGGCCTCAGCGCCCTGGTACTGAAGACTTCCTGGTAAGGCAGGGCCTATAATTGGCTGTCTTGAGGGCACAACGTGGGAGACTCCATGGGAATACCGTGGCAGGGGGATGACCTTGCAGGCCAGACCCAGAGCTTAGAGTGCATCCATGTGTCCCCCTGCCTGTTGCTCCTGAGGACTGAACACAGTGATTGATGGGAAGGTGAGAGGAGCGTGGCATTAGAGGCCCCAGGACCTGGTGTTTATTCTGAGGCGGGGAGCTGGGGTGGATGTTGGGGGGTTGGATTGTGGGTTCTCAGAGGATGTTCATGATTTCATCTGTCTGTTTCATGAAAGGGTGGTGTGACCTTTGAGGACATTGCCGTGTACTTCTCCTGGAAGGAGTGGAGGCTTCTTGATGAGGCTCAGAGACGGCTCTACCACCATGTGATGCTGGAGAACTTTACACTTATATCCTCACTGGGTAAGGCCCTCAGCCCCCACTTTGACCTGGACTAGACTCTGTACTCCCACGTCCCCCCTCTGCATTTTCCAGGGTAGGTTTCTCCTCTCATGTGGACTGTGGGCACTGCTTGCTTTCCCAGCTTTCTGGTTAGTTGCTTTTGTTGCTAGCTCTGTGTTGTTTGTGTGCCCTTTTCTCTGCCGTGCAGCTCCCAGTGCCCTCTGTGCTGAGCCCTGATCGGGTAAGATTGGAGGTCAGTGGTCATGCAGTGAGGCTGATGGATTGCACCTTGCTTGCCCTCTCCCTGGCTGGGTCCATGTGTCTAGATCCATGACTTTTCGATGGCCTAGGTTTTTCCCCTTCTCTTAGGTGACATTTCCTTGTGCCTTTCTGTGCCTGAAATTGGAGGCATTGGTATGGTCACTACCTTAAAGGACCGTGGGCTAGTTCTCAAGAATGTCCTGTATGGATCTTTTGGTTTTAGTTTTTAAAGATTTTATTGATTTATTTGTCAGAGAGAGAGAGAGAGCAGCAGCAGGCAGAGGGAGAAGCAGGCTCCCCTCTTAGCAAGGACCCCCAATGCAGGACTCGATCCCAGGCCTCTGGGATCATGACCTGAGCCGGAGGCAGACGCTTAACCGACTGAGCCACCCAGGTGCCCCTGTATGGATCTGTTTGTAATGTGTACATCTCTCTTCTACCTTCCCCCCTCCTTCAGGTTTGTGAGGTATGATTGACAAATCGAATTATATAATTGAAAGTATTATGTAATGATTTCATGTACTTAAACATTATGAAATTAAGGGTGCCTGGGTGGCTCAGATGGTTGAGCGTCTGCCTTCGGCTCAGGTCATGATCCCGGAGTCCTGGGATCGAATCCCGCATCGGGCTCCCTGCTCCTTAGGAGCCTGCTTCTCCCTCTGCCCCCCCCCGTGTGTCTCTCATGAATAAATAAATAAAAATCGTAAAAAAAAAAGATTATGAAATTAATACCAAAATGAAGTTAGTCAACACAACCATCACTTGGCATAGTTACTTTTGGTGGTGGTGGTGGTGAGAAAGCTTGATATCTACTCTCTTAGCAAATTTGAGCTCTACAAATGCAGTAGTAACTGTAGTCAACATGCTGTATTAGTTCCTCAGGACTGAATCATCTTGTAAATGGAAGTGTGTATACCTGACCACCATCTCCCCCCCTGTTCGTGGGCACAGGCGCTCTCTCAGTCTCTCCCTCACAAATAAATACGTCTTTAAAATAAAAAAAAAGGATATCCATGTAAATAATGCCATACAGTATTTGTCTCTTCTGTGTGATGATTTCACCTAGCATAATGTTTTCCAAGTTCCTCCATGTTGTGGAAAGTGGCAGTGTTGCCTTTTTATGTCTTAGTTTTCATGCATGTGCGTGTTTACTGAACGTTCTTTTTTTTTTTTTTTTAAGACATTTGTTTGTTTGTTAGAGCACGCACAAGCAGGGGGAGTGACGGGCAGAGGGAGAAGCAGGATCCCCGCTGAGCAAGGAGCCCCACGTGGGGCTAGATCCCAGGACCCTAGGATTATGACCTGAGCCGAAGGCAGACGCTTAACCGGCTGAGCCACCCAGGCGTCCCGTGTTTCCAAAATGTTCTTTGTCACCTTACTATTTTTTTTTTTAATTTATTCATGAGAGACAGAGGGAGAGAGAGAGAGAGAGAGAGAGAGAAGCAGAGGGAGAAACAGGCTCCCAAGGAGCAGGGAGCCCGATGCGGGACTCAATCCAGGACCCTGGGATCATGACCTGAGCCGAAGGCAGACGCCCAACCATCTGAGCCACCCAGGCGCCCTGTCACCTTACTATTTTGCTTAAACGTTAGAAAAAAATTTTTTTTGGAATCTGTACACCCCATGTGGGGCTGGAACTCACGGCTCCCGTGATCAAGTGTCACATGCTCTACCTGCTTGTGCCTGCCAGGGCCCCCCCCCCCCCCCCCCCCCCCGCCCCGCCCCGCCCTGCCCCGCCCTGCTCCGCCCTGCTCCAGATGTTCTTTGTAACTTTTCCATTTGGTACAGTCCTGCTTGTTTGCTTTTGCTTTCATTATATATGCTTTGGGTGTCCTGTTCAAAAACCCATTGCCAGGAGTAAGGTTAAAGAGGCTCTTCCCTCTGTTTTTGCTGGGAGTTTTAGGGTTTCAGGTCATAAGTTTTGGTCTTTAATCAATTACACGTGCGTTTCAAGGAGTGCTATAAGATGGGGATCCAGTCTTATTTAATCATTTGGATACTCCTCTGTTTCGCAGCAGTAGGACGAAAGAGGTTATTTCTTCCCCAGCGTCGTTTCTTGGCATAACGGTCAAAGAGTAGTTGGACCGTATATGTGTGGCTGTCCTTACGGGCTTTTCCTTCCATTCTGTTGTTCTGTTTTTATGCCAGTACCCAATTGTCTTGAATTGTCTAGCTTTGTGATCTAGTTTGAAATCAGAAATGTGCTGCTTAAAGGTTTGATCTTCGGAAGATGGCTTTGGCTTTAGGCTTTGGTTGACTTGGTGGCAAATGTTCCAGTGTCCTCTGCGGAGCCGGAAGCTGGAGGCTCTGCTGAGCAGGGACTGCAGTCGCACCCACCCTGTGGCAGATGGAGATAGCCCCAGGCCTTATTTCCCACCCGTCCCCACCTGTCTCTGCTAATAACAGTCTCCAGCTGTCGTTTCTGTGTGCTTGTGCTCTTTTATGCTCCACTGTGGACTAGTCCATCTTAATTGGACGGTTGAGCCCTCGGAGGCTAATGTCACTCATGGACAGCTGTTGCGTTGATGTTTCTTGGGGTGAAGGATGGTATCTCTCATTCTCCCTTGCTGCTGATAACAGTTCCATAGGACGTTCTTCTGTGTCCATCGTGTCCTGAGTAGCTCTAGGATAGTGCTGGCGGTCCACTTGGCCTGTTTTCCTACAGCATTTCTATCTTCCTGTATCCTGTAGTTGCTCAGCTACGGCTTACAGGGAGGAGTGCCTTGTGTATCAAAGCATGGACATGCTCCAGACAAGACCAGGTGGTGTCACAGGGAGCCCGTTTCTCATGAATGGTAGCTGGCAACGGTGTGATATCCGGCCTGTGTTTGATCGCACCGGGCACCTTTGTTCAGCCAGGGTTTGGTGCCATTGCCGATGGCCACACCCCGTTTCTGTCGTTCCTTCCTCGCTGTTGACATTTTTTTGTCACATGCATTCTACTCCTTTGGTAATTCCGTGAATTCCAGGACAGGGATAATCCCTGCATCTCAGGTGTGCACGTCTCTCCCATTTCTGTCACTGCTCTTTCTGTGTACCTCACCGTTCACCCCCAAACATTTTGAAATGAGACATTCACGTGTCCTTAAACTGACCTTGACTGCAGTCAGTTTCGTGTGATTGGATTGTGCTGCAGCCGTCTACTCAGCCAAACACCAGCAGCAGAAACGGTCCTACACAAACCTTTGTGTAGGCAGAAAACAAGTTGTAGACCCTGGCTCTCTCCCTTGTGTCATACCCTAGTGTTTTTGTCCTTCTGGTGTGCTCTCCATAATACTTTGGCCACTCCTTCAGTTGAATTTCATCTCGTGTGTGTGGAAAAGCGTGCCATACAGTCCTGCCTAGATGAGTCGGGTGCGTGTATGTGATGGGCTCACCCCCTCGCTATAGTCAACACAAATTTCACCAGCGCTTCTTCGCCTTCAGGTTGCTGCTGTGGAGCAGAGGATGAGGCACCCTTTGCCCAGAGCACTTCTGTAGGCGTGTCACAGACCAGGACGCCCAAGGCAGCTCAGTCTTCGCGGAAGACCCACCCCTGTGAGATGTGTGGTCCAGTCCTGAGAGACATTTTCCACTTGTCTGCGCACCAGGGAAAAGAAAACAGCCAGAAACTGTTGAGGTGTGGGGCCTGTGGGAAACGATTTTATTTCAGTGTAAAGTTTCAGCAGCAGCAGGAGCAGCACGTGGCAGCAGAACCCTCCAGAAGCCGTGTGGACAGGGCCTCTGTTGTGAAGAGCTGGGGATTCCATGGTTCAGGAAAGCCCCTTACCTGTGGAGAAGTTCGGAAGGACTTCCTGTCTGGCTCGGGGCATCTGCAGCAAGAGGCCACTGATACTGGGGAGAAGCCACACACGATCACCCAGCGCAGGGCAACTTTACAAGGCAGAAAAAGTCATGACACCTGGGGAGAATGCAAGAACACCTTTGGTCCCAAACACACACATAATCGGGAGCAGGGTGTCCACCTTGGAAGACAGTCCTTTGTGTGTAGTGAATGTGGGAAAACATTCAGGTACAAATCTTTATTTGCCATACACCAGAGATACCATACTGGAAGAACACACGAGTTTGGTCAATGTGGAAAATCGCTTAAGCAGACGCCAACGCTGAAGGAACATGGAAAGACTCACAGTGCATCCAGGCAGTACACGTGCAGCAAATGTGGGAAATCCTTAGGCCACAAATCTGTCCTCATTCATCCCCAGGGATGGCACAGTGGAGTGAAGAGTTACGTTTGCAGTGGATGTGCAAAAGCTCTTAGCTGTAGCTCAGTGTTGATTACTCATAGGGTTGAGTCTGGAGAAGGGTTTTTTAAGTGTCATGGCTGCGCAAAATCTTTTCCCTCTATGTCTGCCCTCTCCTATCATCAGAGATCTCATGCAGGGGAAAGACGGTATGAGTGCGGTGACTGTGGAAAATCTTTTACCAGTAGTTCTGCCCTCCGTTCTCACCAGAGAGTTCACACTGGTCAAAAGCCTTATAAATGCAATGAATGTGAGAAATCTTTTGCTGGTAGTTCTGCCCTACGTTATCACCAATCAATTCATAGTGGAGTAAGGCCTTATGTGTGCGGTGAATGTGGGAAATCTTTTGCTGGTAGTTTTATCTTACGTTATCACCAGAGAGTTCACACTGGAGAAAGACCTTATGAGTGCAGTGAATGTGGCAAATCCTTTATCCGAAAAACAAGCCTCAGTGTACACATAAAGGTTCACTCAGGTGAAAGGCCTTATGAGTGTAATGAATGTGGGAAAAATTTTACTGCTAGTTCTGCCCTCCGTCATCATCAGAGAGTTCACACTGGAGAACGGCCTTTTGAGTGCTGTGAATGTGGGAAATCTTACACTGCTCGTTCTGCCCTCCGTTCTCACCAGAGACTTCATACTGGGGAAAGGCCTTATGAGTGCCGTGAATGTGGGAAATCTTTTACTTTTAGTTCTGCCCTGTCTTCTCACCGGAGACTTCATACTGGACAAAGGCCTTATGAGTGCTGTGAATGTGGGAAATCTTACACTGCTAGTTCTACCCTCCGTTCTCACCAGAGACTTCACACTGGAGAACGTCCTTATGAGTGTCGTGAATGTGGGAAATCTTTTACCAGTAGTTCTGCCCTCCGTTATCACCAGAGACTTCACACTGGACAAAAGC